GGTAGCATTCGCTTATGTGCGGACTACTCGGTTACGATAAACAAACAATTACTAGTAGATCAGTACCCCTTACCCACGGTAAATGATCTATTGGCTAAGCTTCACGGGGGAGTACAGTTCAGTAAAATAGATTTATCTATGGCCTATAACCAATGTATATTAAGCGAGGCGTCACAGAAATTAACATGTATAAACACACACCGCGGTCTTTTTAATTTTACCCGTTTAGTTTTCGGTCTCTCACCCGCACCAGCCATTTTTCAACGGACGATGGAGTGTCTTCTCGCGGGGATAGATGGAATAATATTCCTATTAGACGATATTTTAATAAGCGGATCGAAAGAGCAACATAAAGAAAGATTGATCGCGGTTCTACAACGTTTAGAAGACGCAGGCTTAACGGTTCAAAAAAGTAAATGCGAATTTTTTAAAAACGAAATTATTTACCTCGGTCATGTCATAGATAAAAATGGGGTTAGGAAATCGCCGGAAAAGGTAAAAGCTATCCTAAAAGCACCTAAACCGGAAAATGTGTCACAATTACAATCATTTTTAGGATTGACCAATTATTACCGAAACTTTGTACCGGACGCATCATCGATACTAAGTCCTTTGTTTAATTTATTAAATAAAAATTCAAAATGGGAATGGACCGCTATACACGATGCTGCGTTCAGTCGCATTAAGAATATATTGGCATCGGATAATATTTTGGCACATTTCAACCCAAAAGCAAAGTTAATTTTAACAGTGGATGCTTCGCCTACCGGTTTAGGGGCTATCTTGTCGCAAGTGTGTGATGACGGGTTAGAGAGGCCGATATCATACGCATCTCGAACACTCACTTCGGCGGAAAAGAATTATGCACAAATTCAGAAAGAAGCTACAGCTATAATCTTCGGCATTAGACACTATCATCAATACCTATATGGACGGTCGATACCTTTCGTATTACGGACGGATCATAAGCCTTTGTTGTCCATTTTCGGTCCACATAAGGGTATACCGGAGGTTTCCGCTAATCGACTACAGCGGTACGCGATGTTCCTAGCAGCCTACAATTATACAATAGAGTACATCAGCAGTAAACTTAACAGCGCCGATTATTTATCACGAGCGTGCCCCCCACCCGCAATCAGCGAGCGCGGCCCACCGGAGGAGTTATCAGATAGTGACGAGCGCGCGGCTTATGTCAACTTTGTGTTAGACGGAGACTTGCCAGTGACTAAGAAAACATTACAAACCGAAACTAGTCGTGACAAAATTTTGAGTCAGATTAGACATTATATATTAAACGGTTGGCCGAGAAAAGTAAAAGATATCAAATTGAAACCTTATCATAATTGTAAAACACAACTAGCTTACGAAAACGGTTGCCTAATGCGTGGGCATAAGGTAGTAATTCCCGAGTCCCTACGAGAAACACTCTGTAACGAATTACATAGTTCTCATTTTGGTGTGGTAAAAATGAAAGCCGAAGCTCGTAAGCGATTTTGGTTTCCTGGCATAGACGCGGCGATCGAGCGGCGAGCGGCCGTGTGCGGCGTGTGCGCACAACTGCGCCCAGCGCCCCCACACGCCCCGCTCGCGCCCTGGCCGCTACCGCCTCATCCATTCTATAGGATTCACATCGACTTTTTAGGACCATTTAATAATTCTATGTTTTTAATTGTTGTTGATGCTTATAGTAAGTGGGTTGAATGTTATGATATGACCTCGGCTCACGGTTCAAAGGCAGTAATTAAAAAGTTATATGAATGGATGTCGCGATTCGGTATTCCTTACATATTGGTAAGTGACAATGGTACCTCCTTTACTTCTCAAGAATTTAAAGATTTTTGTATGCTCAATGGAATTCAGCATATTTTATCTCCTGTCTATCACGCTGCGAGTAACGGGCAATGTGAAATATTTGTAAAAATTGTAAAAAAGGGTTTGAAGAGTATCCTCATGGATAAATCAAATAAAAAAATATTGGGAGAGAAAATAGCAAAATTTCTTTTTGATTATAGGAACTCTAAAAATAGCACAACTGACAAATCACCCGCGGAAATAATATTCGGACGCTCATTACGTTCTCGTTTAGATCTTATAAATCCAAACATACCGTTTCCTTCGTCCACAGACTTGGCTTTAACCGTCGAACGTAATCAGTATTTACAGGCTAAATATTATAAGGGTACCAAAAGACCAGAATTCAAAGAAAAAGACAATGTTTGGGTAACTAAAAACATGAACACTAAACAATATTACTGGATTGAAGGAATTATTAGGAAAAAGCTCGGAAACGTCATGTATTTGATATATATACCTCAATTGGATCGCGATGTTACTAGGCACATCGATCAGATTAGACTTCGGCTTTCCGTCACTCAATATGACTGTCAGCACTGGGATCCAGATATTGTTCCCGATTTGGTGCAGGAAGGAGAAGAAGGAGCAATACAGACTGACGTGACCAACAATCCTCCTGGAACAGAATATCCAGCAACCCCAACTGCTATTACTTCCCGGAGGAGGCAAGCTATAAGTCCTATATTTTCGACACCTACATCAGATAGCGAACGGGACACCTAGATATTATATAGTCGTATTGTTAATCAATGGTTATGTTTAATTATAAAAATAATGTGTATGTTATCCTAGCTATAAGGGGAAGGGATGTTATGTATGTATGTGGGTAGTTAGAACGGGCCACGCCCTTCCTTATATTGTAATAAATCAGTGTGCAACTAACTAGCTTGTTTGTCTAACGTATCACCTGCTCCTTCGATATACAACATAATGTTAGCATCTCTATCAAATAATACCATGAAACAATACGATTCATGCTTACGAAAATGGTATAATTATTGTACAGAAAACGATATTGATATGTATAACCCACCCGTTCCATCAATAATCAGATTTCTTACGAATACATTCAATACCGGTAGTCAATATCAAACAATAAATTGTTATAGATCGGCAATATCAATTTTAACCGGACCAATAGAAGATGATTTGATTAAAAGATTTTGTAAGGGCGTATACAAACTAAGACCTTCCTTACCCCGATACAATATAACTTGGGATGTAAATATTTTATTAAATTATTTGTCCACAATGTACCCTCACAATGAAATATCCTTAGAAAGATTATCAAAGAAATGTGTTACACTTATAGGCATCGTCACTGCACATAGAGTACAAACATTGGCAAAAATTAAAATTAATAATATAATTTATTTAAAGGATCAACTAATCATAAAAATTCCAGAATTAATTAAAACTTCTAAAGCTGGATGTCTTCAACCAGCTTTACACTTACCTTATTTTAAAAACAAAGTTTCTATATGCCCTGCAGCCACGTTAACTTCGTATGTGAATGTAACTAAAGACATAAGAGATTCTAACAATAACCTATTTATAAGTTTTAGAACTCCTCACAAGTCTGTTTCCTCTCAAACAATCAGCAGATGGATTAAATCGACTATGAAAGACAGTGGAATTGACGTATCCATTTTTTCTGCTCATAGCACCCGCCATGCAGCAACATCATCTGCCTACCACAACGGGGTTAACATAGACTTAATAAGAAAAACAGCAGGTCGGAGCGGCAATTCCAGTGTCTTTGCAAAGCATTATAATCGACCTATTTAAGTAACAATGATTTTTCTGCTCTAGCAAGAACTATGGATTTATAACAATTTGCTCTTAATTGAATAATGATTATAGAAGAAAGTAAAAATAATTTATACTTGCGTTGGAATTATATAAAGTGCAATAAATCATTATATACTTATATAGTTACCTTATTCATTATAATAAATAAATATTTCCTATCTCTCAATATCTACATAGTGTTTATAATTACAAAAAATAATAAGTAAGTATACTAATCTCGAGGACGAGGCACGAGTATAATTGATGATTAAACGAACTTACCTAAGTGAAGTTCGATCATAATTATACGAAGTGCCTCGTCCGAAGAGATTAGTATGCAATCCCTCCCTCCCAACACACTATTTGCTTCAAATAGTTCCCCCTAACTAGGGAAATATTTATTTTCTCTCAACTAAATGAGGGCACTGGGGTTGTCAGTTGGCGGGTGGGGTGGCTTTGGCGGGAAGTCAATGTTACCAACTATAAAAAAAAATAATAAAATAAAAAAAAATGCATTTAACCGGAAGTTAAAGAATAGGCAGTCATTTTCAGTCTAATATATATATTTAGACGGTAAATGACACAATCTCCTGAACATAGTGCTGAATGTGGCAACACTTAGGCGTTACTACATAGTGTTTATAATTACAAAAAATAATAAGTAAGTATACTAATCTCGAGGACGAGGCACGAGTATAATTTTAATGTTAATTCATTATATAAAAACCTGATCAAACCTAGTAGTGTGGTTCAAACTTTATAGAAATCCCATGTGTTTCTCTAAATGATACAATCTGGTTAGTGAACAATCAGTCTACAGTCACAAATTGCAATGGTCTATTTAAAGTTGTAAAAAAACAGAAATAATTATTGTCTATAGTATCTTTCTTAAATTATATAAAAATCTAACAATAATGGAGAACAATATTTAAAAGCTAATTATTTTAATGATTTCAAGTTTAAGCATTCAGCCCTTGGTTCCACAAATATTTTAATTTTGTTTTAAGTTTTATCAACTATTACCAAGTTAGCAAACCACGCCTAAATTTATTTCTTGTGAAATATTTAAAGAAACATGGTTATTATTTAATTATTAAATGTTATCTTAGCGAACCTCTATGTGTGCCAAATTTCTGCTCGATCCTTCCAGTACTTTTAGCTGTATATTGATAGATTACTCAATTCTTTGTTTTAATTTTTTTCTAGAACTTTTATTGCGATTTTACGTGCGTTAATTGTAAGCTACGTCATCCGCTTATTATGTATCTTCCCGTAGGTGAAAGAATTTTCAAAATCGGTCCAGTAATCAAAATGTATTAGTATATGGATTACTTATCTAATTGGATTTTCATCAGGTGACGCCAGGGATGTACCAGGTGAATCCAGCAGAGGAGGGCCTCTTCCGTTCAGAACTGTACGTCCAAGTGCAGCTGTGGCCTGCCCACTACGAGAGGGGAGCGCCGATCCTCCGCTGCGAGGCTCGAGTGGCGGACCTGTACCGAGATGACTCCGTCGTTGCATTGTACTTCACTAATAGCGACCCTAAAATTGAAAGAGGTTAGTTTATTCAATTAGTTAATTCATATTACTATATCTTTGATCACTGTCAAGAGCCTAATGTTGCCGCGTAATTAAATAAAAGGAATCAAGGTCTTAGTTGATTTCTTGAACACGTAATTGCTTGAAAGTTCATAAAGATATGCTTGGGCAATAACACTATAATTTCACGGTTTAGGTTTACACAACGTCAGATTATATTTATTTATTCATATTTTCATGGCATAAAAATAATATGTCTTGTGCTACTGAAGGCGAGTGTTAATGACAATCGTCTTTTGTTTTCTCGTCATTCATTCATCTTTTCTTACATGATCATCTGTTTAATGACTTCTGACGTTCTGACGTGGCACACGTTCATGACGCACACATGAAAGATTGTACTTCGCTGCTTCTACATTTATTCACTTTCGCTCTGTATGTCAGTTGTCATTTCTTCATTAGACATTCTTCACGAATATCCGAATCTTTCATGTTAGAGACGTAGAGTATCTTGAAAACTTAAATGTTTTCTGTTATATTCTATTTACTCATTAAAAACCAGACATTAATTTAAACTTTGATCAAACCCTGGAAAACTTAATTATGAGAAAATTAAAATTTATAAGTATGCCTTACAATTTTTTTGTCTATTCAAATGATGACAAACTTTTCATAACAAATTTCAATTTAACATTTTTCTTTCCAAATAATAATTTAAGTAAAAAATAAAACTTGTATCCCATTAAATGAAACAAGTTTTTACGAGTTTTACCACTGGTAATTTGTAGTTTAGTGACTATTGGATTTGTTTTACATTCATAATGAACTATTATTGTTGCGAAATATGAATAATCTTAAGAATAACGAAATAATAAATTAAAAACTGGCTTACTAAATTAATAAAATATTGTGATTGGTTTTCATTACGCTGCTAATTTAACCAAAGATTCGTCAAGTGGAGCAACGGAACTAAACGCTAGCGTTTATGTAGTATAAATGTAGTTTGTACTACTACACTCAAAGCACTGACAGATAATCCGTAAAGTGTGATACTTTCAATATCATAATAATATTTGTCAGTTACACCACCCATAAACGCGACATCTCGCCTATCAAATATCCACCAAGGATCCATCACGTACTAATAATACTTTCGCGAGACGCTTGATATACATTCCTTTAAATTTGCACGGATTCCAAGAAAATATCCGAAAGAGAAGACTGATTAGGTAACATCGTTTTTTCATCAAGCTGTCAACAATACCCACGTACCACATTAAATAAAATATCCGTTTGCCATTACTTTCAAATTTGTAAAGTCTTAAGATTATAATAAAATATAATAAAATAGATAATATAACACGCCTAATACCAATGATCAAGACAAATCTTTTCCCAGTATTCATCTAAATTAAGAACTGTATAGAAACAATGGTAACGCATATGATGTATAAAACTAAACACTCGAGCTAATGTAATAATGCGTGTAATGTTAAGTGAATTACTGTAGAGAATAAGGTGGCCCATTTTCCTTGGTATTTCAAGTTTCAGCGAGTCACGTAGTCAGATTGTAATGTCGTCTTCAAATTAAAGGAATGTGACACTTATATGATTATGAACTTTTGTATAACATAACATAGCATGATCTCCATTTTTCCGACATTAAAATGACTTAGATACGAGTATGTTACACGTTTGTATTCAAACTTTTGGTACGTTTGTCGTGTATTATCCTCTTACGTTTTTTTAATAATATAGAGTAGAACAAATGTAGTGAAATTGACAACCATTGATTTTTTTTATTTTTATCACCACAATAGGGATGATGACTAATTTTTGTTTGTTTGTCCGTCAGGTAGAGTGTTAAAAAATATTAAACACGTATTTTTTATGTTTTTAATAATCATAAAATTACGGCGTTACATTGAGTTGAAATTTCGCATGACGTCACGTTAGAGTACGTTTTCTACTCAACTGTGACGTAGCGAGCCCCCACTCCTCAACTTTAATGCCTGTTATCTAAGCTATTTCTTGTTAAGTTGAAGTAAAAAAAAAAAGTATCTAATATTTTTCTATTATCCGACTGACGGACTCAATAGAATTGCATTGTTTTTACCCAGTCATCATCCCTATTCCTTCTTCTTTTACTTCAATATTTTAGACTAGGCCAATAAAACTTTTACATTCTAGAACTTGTTATAATTATTACAATAATATTAAAAGCAAGATATTATTAATTAAAAATCCATTGGCCCTTAATGGTATTCTGAGACGGGACCGAGACGGGAACCCAACCCCACACCTAGGACCTAATAGGAATGACGAATTTTGTAAGCTACTACTGCTAACTGACTAGCTCAGTTAGAGTGAGATTAGTTAGAGCAGCCCGGATTGCGAAAGATCGAGGGTTCGAGTCGCATCTCAGAGTACAGGCTGGTGGATTTTTCATGCACTTTTAAAAGATTATATTTCCTATCATACTATTGTGAATTCTTAATTGATCAAATATATTAAGTAGGATATTAATAAATAAATTATATAACCGTAGTATATTTATATTAGGAAATGGAACTAAACAGTGGTGGCAAATCTGTTGTACCGCTCTTACCAAAATTAACTAAAAATTAATAAAATTTCAATTTGGGTCAGTTTTAAAGATATTCCATAGTTATATGTAATCAAAGATATATAATTATATCATGTATTATTAACTTATTTTTATTAATTATTATCTTAGTTAATTTCACAGTTGAAAACGCATTGTGACAGAACTTAAACTATATTTAGTCTACTTTATGCAACATAATTGCTACCATTTGATATGACATTTTTTGTTCTGAGTTTTTGTCAAATCACGGTCTTTTGTATGAATATAAATGATTTCCTTCTTGTGAATATTCTAGAAAAATTACCATAATCTTCGTTATTAAGCCGACAATGGACCAATGAAACTGCATTTGCAGTCTTGTCGACCAAAACTGGGTGATACGATTTTATACTTGCTCGGATAAAGCCCGATTTTAATGCAAAGTACAAAGGCTGTATAGATACGACTAAGCCACAGACCAATAAACGTTAAAACCATTAAGGTAAAGCTCGGTGGCGTAGTGGATAAGCGCCGCGGCCCACGATCGTTGTCGTTAAGCAACTTTCGCAAGGGTCGGTCACGGGATGGGTGACCAAAAAAATTATTATCTCGAGGTACTCCGTGCTTCGGAAGGCACGTTAAGCCGTTGGTCCCGGCTGCATTTGCAGTCGTTAATACCTTCCAATCCGCATTGGGCCAGCGTGGAGGGTCATGGCCCATCCTCCTTAACCATCCATAAGGAAGGCCTGAGCCCCTGCAGTGGGGACGTAAAAGGGCTGATGATGATGATGATGATGATTAAGGTAAAATACATTTTCAAATTTAAGTATTATAGGAAAGAAAGTCGAAATAATATTAAAATTAAATTCATGAATTTAGGCAATCAGGATATCGTCGATGTGTAACGTTACTCCATCTTCGTAGTTATCGTATAATACTGTTCAAAATCCAAGTAAGAGCTTTTAAAGGCAATTATCTTGACCAGTATAATTCAATACCGGAGACTAAATTAATATTCTTAGTTTAAATTCATCATCATCAGTCCTTTTACGTCCCACTGCAGGGGCTCAGGCCCTACTACGCTACTAAGCTTCTCGAAAAATAATTATAAAGATTTGAAAAAAAAAAACTGTCTCACTGTTGGTGCCTCCAAGGCGGATTTGAACCAATGACTCCTCATTACTTTGGCAAATATTGTTTCAAATCAAATACTTGTATCGGTATAACGATTTTTAGGGTTTCGTAGTAAACAAGGAACCCTTATAGTTTCGCCATGTCCGTCTGTTCGTCTGTTCGTCCAAGGTTTAACTCGAAAACTATTTGTACAAAAAAGTTATAATTTGGCAACAAAAAGTTATATTTGCCGTACACGTTCATTACGTCGAAAAAGTGGTAAAATTTCGAAAAAAAAGTAGGAATATTGTATTTTTTTCAATTTCCCCGTAGTGTGAGACATCATTAGATAGGTCTTCCAAATACCTTGGGGTTAACCGTTTGTGAGTTATTAAGTTTTAGAAAGTTATTTAAAAAAAATAAACGGGTCGTTGGCAAAAATTCAAGCGTTTCGGCAGTAGTACCTATATATAAAGACGTTAAGAGGAAAACTATCACACCTAACTTGGCTTTACAAGTTTAAGGGTAATAGTTGACCAATTGTATTTAACTCGAAAATTTCGAACACCTCCATAGAAAACAACAAACGTGTTTTTTTTTTACTTTGTTTGATGGTCAAAGTTAAAGTCTAAATGCGAGCCAGATTTTTATTGGATACTTTCCTTGATATCTCTATAAGAGAAAGTATCAGGTACAGACCAAAAAACCAGACCAAAAAGAACACTGCAAAAATAATTTGGGCCGCAAAAATTAATTAGATATGTAGACAGTTTAAAGAGAGTATAGAAAAGATGGTTATATTTGTACCGATACCTTTAACAATAAGCCCTGGAGTAATGTGCAAAGTGACAAAGTTAAAACACAAAGTGCGGGCTCTAATTAATTAATTTCTACAACTCCCTATTTGTGAAACCAGGATTGTTTCGATCAGATTATTCTAAGGAATTATTATATGGTGAAGTTTGCCAATTTTATCCAAATTAATTGGCAATCAATATAATAGATTTTTATTCTGATAGGATATATACTGTTCATACTATGAATATGAATTGGAATTTGACAAATCTGTTAATCTAAATCAAGTTACACTAGGATTAATTTTGATAGTGTGTTATTTAATCTATTTCTGATTATCAATTTCTTCTTGTTCCATTTTTTAACCAATCTCATATAAATCTGTAGATTAATATTTCCAATAAATTATTTTCTGTATTCGCAATGCGACAAAATTGATTTGATCAAGGGAACTCTCCAATATATCAAACACAATGAAACCCAAATCAGATATTACTAATACTTACCCCGAAATATGTATACTGTTATTACATTTCCAAATCATTTACCCTATTCCCATTTAGGTTTCAGCCGTTCCTAATAAGATTAGCGGCACCAAAGAGGGCATAGAAGGCAATGAATTATTGCTTCCTGAGTCATTTGCGAAGACAATTTCCTTCGGGATAACAGAGGAGCGCTGTTCCATGATAATAAATTTATCTTCGACGCGTAGCGAAACATCGTTGGCGCATAGTGAGGTCGGTAAACGCGAGCAATAAATTCATCCTTGGAATAATTAAAGGGATGTTATTGTTGACTATATGTATAACAAAGACCTCTTATATATTTGATGCGTAATATAATTGCTATAGATTTGTCGTTGCTATAGAGCAAGCATCTCAGTCATGAAATATTTAAAACAAACATCGGACGAATATCATCTACATCATCAATTACACATTTGTATATAACAGTTGTTCTTTCGAAAGATGAATAGGTAAATAAAACTTGGACAATGATAAATATCTTATCATTGTGTTTTAAGTTTTTTTTTCTATCTTAAAACGTCTACTTTAATTGTATCCTTCTTCTAAAAGTGTCACAACAAACAAAACTTTCCAAGTCCCATAAAGCAGATAAAAGCCTTAAGGTGTAATACATTTACTTAATCTCGTCAGTGACTGAGATTGGGCTCAAGATTGGCTCTTAATTATACTATATTTGCATAATCGCAATTCTGTCCTTACAGCGATTACTTGTTCTCAGTGTGCGTTTACCTTATCGAGCAAATTAAATTACAAAGGGCTTTCTGAGCTACTGTGTAGACATGTTCACTTGCGATGTTTGCTTCTTTTTAATAACTCTATTTTAATAAAATAATGAAGTGTCTGGAGCTTATTTTTCTTGGGAAACTATTTTTGCGTATAGGTATTTATTCTTTGCATTTATTTACAAGATGATGTTAGTTCTATTTTGAGGTCTAGTTCATACTATCAATATGAATTGAAAGGTGTGTCTGTTTGCCATTATTTTACAATGGAGCATATTTACGGTATTATTTTATACTGCAAATTCCATATCTATAATGTTTGAAGAGACCAAAAGAGCGAATAACAGCTAGTGAGAAATATACCAAATGGTTTTATAAATAGGTATATAATTATGTATAAAAACCTAATATAGATGACTTTCTTGCATTTACAATACAACAGACTATTAGTTTCATATTTAAGTTTAATTAGATAGATATGTTCTTGGAACTTATACCTCGGAGTAGGATGAGCTTGCCACTTGAAGATAGGAATATTGAAACAATTATTAGTACCTTATTTAATATCAGTAGTATTATTGCATAAATTTGATTTGAAAAATTCCATATCAAGAAAAGCTTGTCTGAACAGTCGACTGATTTACCAATTAAGATAACTGAGGAACTATGCGATATAGTCAAATTTCTCAAGTTCTAATTGTATTAAATATGCCGCTAGAGAGTGTGCTTTGATTAATTTTTTATAAAATTCCTCATCTTGTTATCGTCTCGAACACCTGTGGTGCATTTTTTTATAAATACAACCTTCTTAAAAATATAATAGAGGCCTCTTATTAACCTGAACCTCTTATGTTTTGATAGCGCTGTGTTCGATTCTGCGTTCAAATTTGAATATTAATAGATATTTATATCAACATTATCTGACATGACTAATAGGTACATTTTTTTTTCTTTTGCAGTAACATCACCAGGGTCTGCGACGAAACTACACGTGTGCCAACTATTATTCGTTTCCATCGTAATAGTATGGGCGAACAACAAATAGATGTAAAAAAATAAAATAAAATAAAAATGTATAAATAATTAATAAGTAATATTATAAATAAGTAGATGTATTTGGTTCAGATGAAGGGTCGAACGGTGAATTTAATTATAGTTAATTGTACCTAAACGAGCTGATAATTATACCAAAGAATGTAAAGACTAAGAATATTGTTGATTTAATACAAATATATATATGTCGGAAAAAATTTGATGTTTTTATTTTTCAATTTCAAAATCATACGATACCCATCTCTGGCTTTATTCACATCTACAGCAAAATGTTGGTAGGTCAGCCAGCACAAAACATAGTCTTAAAGTAAATATAATTTAACGAAAACTATATACGTGTTATTTGCAAAACAAGAAATATATATATTGTGTCTGATCATTAACTACATACCAAGAACGAATAAGAATTTTCTTTTTATTAGATTGTATGAAATGGGTATTAACAACCCATTGCTAAAGGTAGACGTTCCCGCTAAAACTCTCCACACCGACGGGTCCTGTGCTGCTACTTTCGGCGTCCATTCGGCGTGTACTACTAGCCAAATCTTATTATTTTCACCCCCAACTATTACAACTATAACTTAACAACAATAGTACTATACTTGATTTTTATTTCTTTATACACTTCTCTTTTTATTTGTTCTGTACGTGGACCTCAAAAGAGCAGTGGTCAGAGCGTTTGGTATAAATGCGGAAATAAAGAAACTTTTGCGAGGACCGTTCATAGGATGGGTGGCCAAAAAATTTACTATCTCCAGCTCCTTTGTGCTTCTGCTTCTGCTGTTGTTAGCATTCACCACTATGCATTCTCTTCCTTCCCCCTCGACTCTATCCATAGCGAAGGCCTGTACCACAGTAGTGGGGGCAATAAATGTGGTCGTCGACTTGTACCGATTTGTACGAATTTTCATATGTGATTTATAGCTCTATATAAGTAATCCATATGACGTCATAAGCATTTTCATTGATCATTTTGCGTGCCAGTGGTGCGGTCTTAGCGGATAGTGGACGGAGCGCTATACAAATTCATATAAACATTATGGAAAATCACGTGTTATGTGGCTGCGTGCGTGTGGATAATATTGTCGTTCACCTTTATGGGATGACGATTCTAGATTGACTTGGGTCTGGATGTTGTGGTATCTTCATTGTTTCAGGTTTTCATAATACAAAGCTACGTATTTGGGATTCGAGTAATGTATGTGGTTTCGTCTTATATTTATTTATTTCACCTTGAATTTAATTACTTGCTTTTCATACACTCACAGCCACAATTAACCGCCCACCTGTATCTCGAACTACAGTACGAGGTGATTAGAGGATTTCAGAAAACAGGTTTATACACCCACAGGCCAGGTCAAGGCCATCATCGATGCACTTTAACTCAAGATAACCGTTTCGTTGTCACCAATGTGTTGAGAAATAGCTTTTCGGCCGCTACTGAAGTTCGTATGCGTCTTTTTGAGGTAAGAAATAGCAGTGTCAGTAAACGTACCACAGAAGAAGACTAGCATAAAGTAATTCGTGGGCTTTTACCATGACCCGCACGAGGTCCTGACCTTAACCCAATAGACCACATTTGGGACAACCTTAAAAGACGTGTCCAAATAAGAGTAACAGTTCCTATGAATATAGGAAAGCTTAAAACGGCTGCAGTAGAGGAGTAGCACAATATCCCACAATCTGATATCCAAGATATCATAGAAGGATTGACAAACCGGCTCCAAGAAGTCTTAAGGATCACAGGCGGCAATACCTACTATTAATTATATTTTTTCTTTTAATTGCCTCATTATTTATAAACTAATTTTAAATTTTTTTATTAAAGATAAAAAAAAGGATTTTTGTTAAGCATCCTTTAATAAAAGACTTTTTTCCAATATTTTAGTTGTTTCTTTTTCTTTAAGTATAGTTTTTAATATTGCTTTCATAAAATATGGTCTAAGTTTGGCAATTTCTGCTAATTGAAAGAAATAAAAGGTGGGCGGTTAATTGTGGCTGTTAGTGTAGTAGCAAACGTATACAAATTTAAGCGATAAACGATTAAAGAGAAAGTGAAGTGTTAAAATAAAGGCCGTGTCAATATTAACTATAGACCGTGCCATGAGCACAATCAACCTAAATTGGTTAGCCATTACTGTACCTTTGTTCCTATTCTCAAAGACTACCTAAATAAATACTTAAATGAGATACTATAGCGACTTCGCATTACTAAATTACTAGAGTACCTAAATTATGTATAGATATAGTTACACATACACACAAAAAAAACTTTAGTACAATTTTTTTTACAAAAAATGACAAAGTGGATTTAAGCTTTTGTCATTAAAAATTTTAGTATAGCATTCTGAGGTTGGTTGCAGATGGATGGGACAGTCCCATATTGACACGCTGGATGCAGTTGCATACTAGCTTTTAAGTGTTGTTGTCTCTTTATTACTAATATTAAATTATAGTTCTGTTGTTACTAACATTTACTATGGAGTCATATCTCCGCAATAAAAATTATTATTATTATTGTGAATGAAAAATTTATCTCATCCTATCAATTTTAATATTAGGTCCTTACACGTGAAATTGTTTTTTCGTACTGGCCACTTTAATCACGAATTTCTCCTCCTTGGTTGGGAATTCCAAATTTAAATTTATACAGCCATTTCCAACCAATTTCATATGTAAGGATCTAATTATTTTATCTATCATACACATGCACTATTCAATTAAATATGTCACGCTTACGTCGGTTGCGAGGTTTCACCACCTCAGACGTCCCGGATTCGATTCCGGGTCAGTTTAATATAGAAAACGGTATTTTCGGGTCTAGATGTTGTTTCAATCATTCCACTATACGGTACTTTAGCTACACATATTAGAATCTGAGCAATGTAAGTGATATTGTCTTATAATAAAATCTGTTGTAGAAACTGTAACCGTTTTCATCATCATCTGCACTTTTACGTCCCACTGCAGGGGCTCAGGCCTTCCTATTGGATGGTTAAGGAGGTGTAAAGATAGATCAGTTAGATGTGAGAAACTTCAAAAACTGAAATTGTAACCCATTTTGTATCTATAATGAAGTCAGTAAAATCGTAGAAAAAATTACTTTGATGATAGCAGCAGCTTTTAAGAATGAAAAATCAAAATCTTAAAATTCCTCAAACTATTTCTATTTAATCATCGATGATAGTATAGTTTACTTTAAAATTGAAGGGTGGTCAGTTAAAGATTTTCTTCGAAGAACCTATATATGTACATAAAACTGTTTCGTAAGCGACTTAATTAAAGATTGTCTAGTTGAAATATATATACAAAACATTTAGTGCGACGAAAGCTTTCAACACATATTACTAAAGTAGTACCAACTAAATTAAATGAGAGTAAGGTTTGAAGAGTATTAGTCGTTTAATTAGAAATAGACATGTGTTTCACTCAGGTGAATTAATACTCATCAGACTTGGCCGGAGACCGGCCCGAGAGGTGGGTTAAGCATGGTTAAAAGCAATTCCGGGAAACGGACGGACGAAACCGCACACGTTAATGCTGCTAGGAAAATATCCACTTTAACTCCATTTAGAGAAATGTGATGTATATTTTGCTATTTGGATGATGTTTTATTGATAAAAACCTGAACATATTACACCGAGCAAATCGTAGGTCTAGAGTCAAAAAGTTTTTATAGATGAAACGTAAAAATTAAACCATAGTGCGATCTATAATTGAATAGCGTCATCTATTATTCCAAATTGAAACTACATTACCAATTTTAAAAATTCTTTCACGTGTGACATAGGCTATAATTTAACGTAGTCGCTGGGAAACTACTAGTATATTTATCATGAAAACACATACAGTTCAAAAACTAAAACCCAACTACAACAAATCACGCTTACTAGAGGGCACTGTTGCCAATTTAATGTAACGTCACAATCTAAATATATATAACTCAAAGGTAACTGACTGACTGATACAGTGATTTATCAGCTTATAGTCCAAACCACTGGACAGATCGTGCCGAAATTTGGCATGCAGGTAGACGTTATGACGTTGGCATCCACTAAGAAAGGATTTTGATCAATTCTACTCCCAAGGGGATAAAATAGGGGATGAAAGTTTGTATGAAACATTGTCAATTCTAAACCGATCGGGCTGAGACTTTGCATGCATAAATCTACTATAACGTAGGCATCCCCTAAGAAAGGATTTTGATAAATTCCACCCCTAAGGGAATAAAATAGTGGACGAAAGTTTCTATAAATCTTCTGAAATTTTCGACTGATTAAGCTGAAATTAAAGATTGGAGCTACTATGATGAAGACGTCCCGCTTAAATAGGCTTTTGATAAATTCAACCCCATGGGGATAAAATAAGGGATCATGGAGGATGTAAATGTACTAGTTTGAACCTATCAGTACCTAATGGAACGAATGAATAAATATTCGTTAGAAATGCGTCCAAAGTAACATTACTGCGCGGTCGAAGTCGCGAGCAACAGCTAGTATATATATATCGTATAGCATGTGGCACTGATAGCACATGCGGAATCCAACTAAGACGCTTCTGTGGATTCCTCATTTGTTCAGTGACGATTAGTAGTTTCGAAGTTGTAAATTATAATATTCTTTTATACATACATACAGGTATATACCGGCCAAAATCATAACCTTCCTTTTCGCTTCGCCGCCTTAGTTGGGTCAAAAGGAATCGAAATCAATTCCATATTGGTACGTTTAGAAAAATATAGCTCGTATCGATTAATCATGCTTATTGAAAATGTCAAACGCATGATGTAATTGTGTATGATATAACTTGAGCAGACTCAATTTTCATTCAATAGATGTTTTATCAAACAAATAATTTGTTCAGAAATGTTAATTCATAATGTTGAAAGCCACAAAACACTTATGAAGATTGATATCAGTTATTTTGTGACAGAATATACAATGTATAGAAGCTAGACACATTAATATTTATTTTATTTAGATGAGCAATATCTGGT